TATGATGTAACAAAATGAGACAGACGGAGAAAAGTATAAAATGTGAAATAAGTATTTATGCAATTAAGGTATTATTCAGGCATCATTCATTCTTGCAATTTATTCGTATGTTCAAAGGATTGCACTGTGTTCAAAGGCATCTGGTGTTCAAAGGATTGCGTTGTGCTCTCACCACTAGTTTTCTTTCTTGTTCGAAAGAGAAATTCAAGAGGCAAAGTTCATTTGATGGTGTGCTATCATCCTTCATTAACGCATGCAAGAGATTATAAATTATGAAGAGCTTTTTGTGGAGAAAAAGGTACATTAGATGGAATCTTATATCTTCACAAAAACCATACATTCACCATGAACTAAGACAAAGGATAATCTTTAACAAAGATGAGAATCATAACACATGCATCTCTACAAACCCACCCAGTCACCCACTGAAACTCAATTCCGTAGGGATTGACCCACCAGCTGCCACAATCTGTTGCTCAAGCTGCATCAAGAATCCATAAAAGAAATATAAATTACAAATCCAGAATGTAAATAGAATGATATTCAGCTTTTTAAGTTTTTCATCTAGTTAATACCCTGAACAGTGTTTCAAGCTTATTCTTAACAAGGCAGTACTCTTGCTTCACTTGTTGCAGACATCGGAGACACCTGCGATAATCAGAAACTTTCAATGATGAGACCATGAAATCAGCCAAACTAAGCACTTAAAGCACGAGTAGCTTATTCATTCAAACTTGTGCGCTTATCGTTGGAGACGCCAAAAACTATTGAACAACTTTCTGAAGATTAACAACTCACGCATCAGTGTTCTGCTCCTCACAGAAGTTGCGGAAAGCAATACAGCAATTTTTCACCCTTTGTGCACCTATGCTGTGAACCACACAAACAAAAACAAATTTGCCTAAGAGAAGACAGCATAGCATAATACTGGTTTGTCCTAATTAAGCCTAATTAGTCTTTTTATCCCGAGTGTTAAACAATAAAATTCAACCTGTATAGGAAGAGGAGTTACACAAGCATTGGAAGGACAGACCCAACCAACATAGCTTAATGACACAAAAGTCCAACGTATTCGGATTGCACGGTATTTTACAGTTTTTGGCTGGCTTTAAATAGAACCCCATACCTTGAACTGCTACCCTTTAACTGGTGAACATGGGCATCAACCTTTTTGAAGTCAACGCCATTCTGATCTCTGCACAGGAAAAGCCCCAAGAACATGGAAGATCATGCACTTTCCCAAATTCATCACTTAAACATACTAACAAACAACATTGCAGAAAGTTTCTCACATATTCATCCAATCAATGCTTTCACAACCAAGTGTGGATTTTCCGAGGTAACAAAAGGTGACGGCATGAAATCCAACCCATTAAATTATAATAATAAAAAAAAACGTAATTCAAAAAATCATATACCTATGGAAGTTCTTTTATTTAAATGCATGGTCCATTTTTAATTGTGGTTTATTAACACAAAATTGAGCGTGGAAGGAAACGGTACTGACAGGGCAAAGGTGAGATCTTTGAGAAGCCTTTCAGAATCTTCGAAGAAGAGAGAGACGACTTCGACGACAAAGTCAGGGTTGTTCTCGTCTTGAAGCTGCTGAAGTTGCAGAAACTGACCATCCAAGAACCCCTTTTCGAAAACAAAAAAAAAAAATCAAAAATTGAAAGCAACCCAACAACAGATCTACTACTGGCAATTTAAAAAGGCTGAAAAGAACATAAAAGAAGACAAAGAAAGTGTGCATGGAGTGGAGGGGTTACCTCGAGGAAAAGGGATTTGGTGTAGTCGATCCACTGTCTCTGCATCTGACCCACGTCCATGGTTTATTGGGCGTGCTCTTCTGTTGTCTGTCACACAACACAACACAACACAAAACAAAACAGGAAGACAGTGGTGGTTGTTATGTTATATTATGTTGTGTTACAAAAGAAGCAGTGAATTTCTGAGTGAGCCAAATATCTTTATTTATTTATTATTGGTGAATGAAAGAGTGTGAAAAAATGAAATGAAGGGGATAGATAGTACCTTGAATGAGAGAGACAGAAACAGAGAGAGAAAAACAGAAGGCAAAATATTTTAAGGTTTGTGTCTGTTCTAATACTCTTTCCTATTCTCTTCTCTTCTCTTCAGTTATGTAGGTTTGGCCTTTGCTTTCTTTGTTCTGCTCTGCACTGCACTTGGGACCCCACTTTCCCTCTCTCTCTCTTATTTATACCATTTTCATTCATTTCTTCCTAACATTTCCTTCCACATTACTCTTTCCCGCTTCTTCTCTACTCTAATCTCAAATTTTTTCATCTTCTTGGAATGAGAAATAAAGCAGATGAAAAATAGGTAAATAAATATTAGTACTTGAACATGTTTATCATTCTACACTAAAAATGTAATTATGTTTTCTTTTTAATTCCATTACTATACAAAATTGATTATCTTTCTCTTTAAAATAATTTATTTGTAGGTCTATACAACAAAGGTTGTGAGATGTATAAAAAGAAAGAAAAATAAAACAGTTAATTTTGATTCTACTAATATTGATAATTTGAATTATCGTCATGTGTTATAATGTCTTTACTATTTATTTTACCTTTTCATGGAAATACATCCTGTTTAATTAGGAAAAAATTTCATGTACATCTCTCTTTTTTTTATTATTTCTATTTAACTCTTGATATTTTTTTAAACTTTTTTATTTGTTTTCTTCTGAATTATTTTGTATTTAAAATAGAAATATTATTTTGTTAATGTTAAATGAAAAAAAAAAGTAACATGTTTCATTCAACTAATGAAGCAATGATATAAAGAAAAAAAGAGTGAGTGTATGAAAAAGCAAATAACATAATTTTACTTTTATTAATATTGATAACTTTGATATATTATATTTTGGAATATATTTTTATGTATTTAACTTGATCGAAGATATTCACCCATATCCGAAATTATCATTTATAAAAAAAAATAAGAGAAGAATCTACCAATTAATCACATCTCATAGTAATCTTGCCTACAAAGTTTTGGAATAGGATTTCTTTTGAGTTTTCCAAGAATCTTAGACTGGGAATATTTTATTATATTTAATACGACAATTTTAAAAATCATTACCAGAACCTAACAATTTATGGAATATTTTTTAATCATGTACAGTAGCAAAATTTTGTGGTCCGTTCTTTTTTGTTTTTTATTACGTGTTTTCAAAATACATTAATTTTAATATAAAAAGTTAACATATTTTAAAATATCAAAATCAATATAATTTAAAAGTAGAAAATTATTTTTTAATAAAAAGGCATAATTATGTTTCTCACTCTACCAACATTTTAGATATATTAAATATATTCATGACATTCCCGTGAAACATTATTCATAAGAGACAAAATTATTATGAAGAATGTTTTCACAGATTATTGATAAATTAGTTGTTTGAAAATTGTGATCCATAAATAGGTGAGAATATTTCTATAGTTCGTTGTTGGTCCAGATTATACGTATTATCGAGTCATAGGAATTGCTTGATGACGTTAAAGTTAGATAAATGAGTTAATTTGTTGTATGTGACTCAGAATTTCCATTGATTAAAACTTAGTTAGGATTAACTCATTTAAGTGTGAATTTACATGGACTAACCAGTTTAACTAATGAATTGAGCTTTTGGTTTTGAAAATAAGCTCATTTATCCATATGGATATATTTTTTTATTTTCTCTATTTTCTATAATATATATATATATATATATATATATATATATAGTTATTTAAAGTTTTAATATATATTTTGGCCTTTCAAGCTTTTTAAAATATTATTATTTGGGTTTATAGGAATTTACAAAGCTGATAATTAGAGAAAAAACAAATGGGATCTTAATAATTTGATATAATGGATTTAAAATTGTGGGTTGCATTAGGAAGGAAGATGAGAGAGGAAAAAAGAATGTAATTAATTTGTGAGTGTGGAATCTGTTTGGAAGAGAAGGACCACAAAAAATGGCCATTTTCTCATTTCTGTGATTCTCTTTTCTTATACTTTCCATAACACTTTTCTCATCACATCCATAATACAATACCATGTTTTAACCACCTAAATATGTCCAAAAGCACTTCCTAGTAAATAAAACACAGGCCTTCAAAAGCAAAACTTGAATTGACCCGGTAAGAAAATCAGTTAAAAGAAGCAGTTTATGCACAAAACAACAAAGTGCCTTTACCATTTTCAATTATTCTAACATGACACACTTTTTGAGAAAAGATTAGTAATCTAATTGCTTGTTTGGACCTCAATCCTGGTCCACTTTTTCCAATATAATAATGACCAGATTTCAGTAATGACGTACAAGTAAATAATTTTGCCTCAAGTTCATCCACGTTCACATGACGGAAACCCTAATCAAAGGCACTTTATCAATTTATTCACAAATTATTGGACACCATCAAGGAGGTTGCCCCACAACAATATTCTCTTTCCTTCATTTACGAAAAGGTGTTAATTACTACCTTTCAATAATGTCATGTCTTTTTATTTTGGTTTTTAATATTTCACAAAGAATATATTAAACAATAACATTTTCAAAACATGAAAAATATTTCATATTTTCTTTATAATCATCCTTTCAGAGTTAATTGTGATGAATTAAATTACGATTTTAATTATCTTTATACTTGCCAGTTAGTAATACCTCTAAGAATTTCGTATTAAAAATTAGTAAAGGCCTCCTAAATATTTCTCACTGCCCGATATTAGTTACTATTACTTTCTTCGTGCCAAAAGTGCTTCTCCTTAAAATAAGGTTCACGAATAGTTCCTATAAATGTATAATGATGCAGAGAAAAGTCCAATATAAAATTCAGCAAATTATGTTTTGTAATCACCAGTTAGGTTTCTCACTCGTATATAACAAAATATTTTGCTTCTCTTGGTTCAGTTTTTAACTCCAGTTCTGGATATATTCTCATTCCACGAAAGCAACAACAGAAGATAACAAAATTGTCAAAACATTATAATAGGGAAAATAACGTACATTTCCATTTCTCTCTTTGTTGTTTTACGTACAAAAAGTATCCGAGAAAAAAAATGGTGAATCCCGCTTTACCTGCCATTACAACTTCATAACTCAGTAATGTACCTCTTGAAGTTGACCAAGCAATAGAACACTATCAGGGAGCTAGTCAATATGATGAGAGATAATACATTACAATTCACGAAAAAATGAATAATACCAAGTGGAATCTGGAAAGCATTCAACAACACTTGTTCTAACATGCCTTGCAACTTTTCATGCAGTAGCCAGGAAGAGCTGGAGATCCAACCATATATTCGGGATTACTGGTGCATTCTCCAAGGTTAGCCCATTTCTCACAGTTTTCATTCTGATCACTGCACTCCCCTCCAACCACGGTATCAAATGAGTCCACATGAATCCATTTTGTAGCTGACCATTTCTCACCTTCAAGTACAGGGCACCCTGCATGCAGACTTCTGGTGTCTGGGATAGCATTTGGGAAGAGACTAAAGAAAAGAAGTGCATCACCTCGTTTTGGTTTCACTGTAAATTGTTCGGACGAGAAGGAAACAGAATAGTTATTCTAGATAACTTGACAGACAGAAAATGTGGCACAAGACATTAGTGGAGAAGAAAAACCGTTGAAGAAAATAACTATTTGTACAATTGCCCACCTGCTATTCCTTTTTGGGCACACTCAGAGAGATCATCATTTGTTCCCAAACCTTTGTGATGTGAAGATTCCTGTAACCAGAATTATAAAGTTATCTTATTTGAATTTAGGTACCAGATACAAAAGGAAAAAACAATTTCCTTAACTAAATGTTCAGACTCTTCTGTGAAACTTGCCACATGACGTGGAAAAAAACAGGAGAGACAAAAGAGGGGGATTCTTGGCGTGGAAAAAAAAAATCAGAATGTGATATCGCAGAAACTATTGCATCTGCTATTCCCCTCTACCTCTACCAGTATCAAAAACTGAAATGTTCTTAGCATGCCTTTTCTAGAAGTAAGATCAAAATATATAGTAGTACCGATTTGAGTATATCCGAAGAGGCCCCAATCTAGTACAAACTTTTAAAACCAAAGCTTTTGCGCAGTCTCTAGGCTTATCGTTAGAATAACTATGAGCAACTAGTGAAAAGATGAGTGAAACTCTGAGGTTAATATAATCTCACAAGGCATGTTGGGTAACTTAAATATTGATTAGTTCTCAGAGATAGGTTCAGTTGACACTCAAAAAATGTAGAACTAAATAAGCATCTGAGCTAGAACAGAAGGCCAATTATAATTATGGAGATACCATGAAAAATATTTTGACAAAAAACAATAACAGCAATGACTTACCACCCTTGTATTTTTATTCAAAGGAAATATGTGAAATAGTGGACAAACCTCTGCATTAGGGAACACTGTTTCACCTCCTTTGGTTACATCAGAGAGATACATGAGAACCGTGGCAACTCGGTGTCCACCCCGAGCAATATTAACTTGATCAGAAAAGTAATCATAATGAGGGTCGTATTTCTGCCCGTGCTCGTATCTTAATACTTGTATGTCTTCTCCATTTTCTGAAATTCAATAATCAAATACTGTAAGGAATTGACTACTGCTTCCTTATTTTAACATTTTCGTCTCGTGGGTTAAGGGAGGGGAAGAGAAGCTGGAAATGCACTTCTATCATTTAACTGATTAGACAATAACTTAATTTATGAAGACAAATTTTTTGGCTCGTGGTTTTATGAAGACAATTTGCACTAGATACTTGTGATTCGCACTAACTACTCTTTGGTCCCTATATTTCTAATTTTCTCCGGTAAATTTTGAATGCTTTAAATTGTTTCTTTAGCTGCTTCCAAATGGATAGGTACGTATGAAGAGTTGTCAAGCATTTATTGACTATTGATGGTGTATCAAATGTTTATGACTATTAAATATAAGCAGCAGCCAATTGAATGCTTCATGGGTACCATACACAGGAAAAAAGGCGGATGAAAGAGTGGAAAGTTTTTATCAGGAAATAAAGTAATGTGGGACTGTTTGAAAACAGAATTTCATGCTAAAAATGAGAAATTTGCAGAGAATGATTTAGTGGAAGAATATAAAAGTGGAAAATTTTATCAGGAAATAAAGTAATGTAGGACTGTTTGAAAACAGAATTCCATGCCAAAATGAGAAATTTGCAAAGAATGATTTAGTGGAGTTAGTTTAAATGTCCTAAACTGATATTTAAATAAAAGCGAACTGAACACATAAGATGTCACTAAATGCAACCAACAGTTTCCTTGTTTCAACTACTAAATGATAATAGATTCCGATATTTAATTGGGACAAGTTTAAAGTTCAATCTGCCATTTTAGTGGAATGAGAATTGCAATAAACAATTCCACACATCACAGTCACAATTGGCCTGACATGCAGCATGAGACCGGAAAGGAAACTTTGGAGGGCCATGTTATACATGGAAGAGAAAGAATGGGTTGCCTAAAACTTTAAAAAACTGTGAATCTTAATAGCTCGAAAACCCAAAATTAGCATCACAGCTCAGTCCTGAAAAATGTCCTTATGTTCTATTCAACAAGTAAACATATTCATGATTGGTATAGAACTGATTTCTTCCTATGTTTTTTAAAGTCCTTGTTTGAAAGGCTTCCTTTAAAGCCAAAGACTGCGTTACCATAACTACACAAGTGAGACTTGTTTGATAGACTTCCTTTAATAGCAAGAATGGCTTCTCATTCACTTGTAATGTTAGTGTTTCAGGCTAAAAACTAAATTGATTGTGAGTAATCCAGACATCATAGGAGCAGAGGAAAAAATCAATAACAAATGACAATCATATAAGTACAATTGTACCAATCAAGTGCGAGTAAAAGCCTTACGCGATAACAAGTATCAACAGTTAAGATATAAGTTCCACAGGTTACAGTAATACCATGCAGACTTCAATCCTGATTTTATATATACCGTACCTTTTGGAAGAAAGGTCCATGCCGAAATCCTATCCTCAATACCAGCAATAATGGGATCCTATAAAATAACTGAACAGAGTAAAAAACAGTTCATAGAAAGTTCTCGGCACAGTTTTCTTTTTTATAATACGAATTAAAAGAGGAACCCACCAAAGTTCAACCAACATAACAAACCTAAACCCTCCCGCCCAACCCCCCCGCCATAATGTCTAGAAAACCTTTCAAAACTAGGACAACTAACAAACACCAACCAGAATAATCTCCCTAACTCTCCGTGTTATACTTCTATAAAACAGTTCTCATCGTTATTCCCTAACTCGTGACTTTCCAAATCACAGGTGGAACAGAATTTCCAAGTCACCAGAGGTTGTTCTCTATCTCATGGGTGGAAATGACTATCCAAATTATTCAGTGCAATTTTTTAAGTCTCATCTTCCCCATGGACGCGGGTTCAATTTTCCTTGACACCATTAAGAGCTTACTTGCTGGGCAAACTTCTCTATAGAGATCCGCTATCACTTAAAGAAAAGACCAATTGAGTAGTCTATAGTTGGAATAAACTATTTGCAATTTAGACAAGTGTTGTAATCCTTTAAATGGACTTCTGTTTGTAGTCCCACCAAATTATTGGGACCTACCAGATAGCATTGAGAGTGTCTCTCCATTCTACCATTTTCACTCACAAAAAATTCAAGCTAAAGACAATAAGCATATGTTCCTCTGTCGTTACATTACAGCCCCACATACAGCGCGCATAAGATTCACATTGGATCTACCACTAGCATAAAAAACCAAATTCTATAAAAGCAATTAATAGCAGTAAATGAAGATAAGGAACCTTATTCTTGGAAATGAACATGCCGGAGCTGGTTCTGACATCACTCAACTTGCTCTCACCGGACAAATTATCTGCAACCGCGGATCTCTTGAGCTCCGATTTGGCGATGGAAATCAAGTGGTCGCATTCCAATTCCGTCAGGAAACCCTCGTAAACGAAAGCTCTGCACCATCCAAATCAATGCAATCATCATACCAACTTGTGTTTGATAAGAAAAACACGTGCAGAAACACAAACAGACCTCGGTTTCCACGAAATTTGTTTGACCTTGGAAGGGTCTATGATGGCACTAGCGGTCCCGGCGTAGGAACCCCACGCTCCGTGCCATTGCATCATCAACGCCAACGCTGATGCCACGACACACCAAACCCTACTCATCTTCCTTTCCCTTTCAATTCCTAACTAACTTTCTCTGTACTTCGCCTTTACACCATCATTAAAGACAGTTTGACTTTTTGAATCCTTTTTGTCATTATTAATTTCGTTTTTAAATCAATTATTATCATTATTGTTCCTATTGTTAAAAAGAAATATTAGTGATTTCATCTAACAAATAAACTATTCTCTTTTTAAGGGAGTTTCTATAGGCATAATTATCTAAGTAACTTTTTAGTATTAAATATCAATTTCTTTTTACTATATATCATATTGATTTACTTAATCAGTGACTAACATATGTCAGATAAGCTATTCTTACCTCTTCTACCTGCCGATCAACATTATCAAGTGTATCATGTATGTCCAACTACGGATATGGATATGAATATCATGAAAATGTTAATTATCAATTTATTTTTCAACTTTCTAAAGTTCCTGCTTAATTTTGTGAGTGCATTAAACTAGTAAGAGTTTTCTAATTTTTGAAGAATTAGTTAATATTTGAATAATTAATTGTATAACGATGAAGGTAATATTTCAATAAAATATTTTAAGACTATTTGGAGTTAAAGGTATTATTTCAATAATAATATTGAAGGTTTATTAAAAATAACAGTGACGGTAGGAATGATAAAGATGTTGCTCACCAATAATAAATACAAATAAAAAATTTCCGCCTTGTTGCATGTTTGGAGATTGATGATAGATGTAGTTTTCATATTACAACAAAAGTAAGAAAATTTAATTTGGAGCCTTTTTACACATGGGCATTATTTTCTATTACTGCAAAATATTCATTCAAACACAAATTAGAATTAGAAGTATAGTTTAATGAATCACTTTGATGGTTAGATGTGTTTTGAAAGGGATTGATTCATATTTTAAGCAGACAGTTTGTTTTGATGTTTGAAATCTGTATTTGAAAACTAAAAGCTAACAATTTACATCCGAATCCAAGTCCCAGTGGCAAGGCAACACTTGAGGTGAGACATAAAACTCACTTAGCACAAATGGAAGAAATTAAAGAAAATTTGTCGGACAATCTGCTTATGGTTACAATAGAAAATAAAAGAATTTGCTGAAAATGGTATTTCCAATTGCTGATGATCATTGAATGTGTGTGGATAAAATGGAAAACAACCATCCTGAAGATTGAATTTGGCTTCACAAATCATACCGCAATTTCACCATCATTTCAGCTAAATAAACTATTGACAAACATCATGGTACATAATCACACGAGGTTCTGCCACTACCTTTCTTTCTGTCTTTGTTAACCCTTTCAACAACAATGTCCCGCCAGCTCTGAATCCTCTTGTAGAGTCAGAATCAGTTTTCATGTTCTGAAAATAAATCTCAGCTCTACAGTTTCAACTCTCAAGTTTCATGTACACTCACTATCTCAAGTACAGGCCATATATACTAGACTTTATCTCATTCATCTGTAACTGAGCCTAGAATAGTCTCCATATGTCGATCCCTCTCATTCAAAAACTTGGTTGAGTTGTACTCTTCTGCATCAAACAGTTCTTCAGAGTATGTCCTCTGAAGTTTTACCTTGGTCCGTTCTTTCATGATTCTCAGGATATCTTCTTCCCCTCTTAGTATCTCCAACACCTGCATCCAATCACCATAAAACACACATGCTCTATATCAGCTCCCAACATTGTAACAGCATTAAAACATTACTCGCAGCATTAAAAGCTTTTCTTTGTTTCTTATTTTCTTTTCCAAAAATCCAGACACAGGATCAATGCCTAACAAGATCTAATTCATTTCCACCTGCTCTAGTAATCTACTGAATATATTAAGCACATGCCTGACTCATATCTGGTCGCTGAATCGAAGACTGGTCTACACATAGAGAAGCTGTTAAGGTTACAAGTTCCATCTGCTCTTCATTGTAAGCATCAGCCAAAACTGGATCTACTAGGGCTTTGATATTATTTGCAGATAGCAGAGGTTTTGCCTGCAACAATTATTTTTTAAAAGGGCATATCAAAATTTGAGTTTAATTTTTATTCATCACTTATGACAATTCTGATTGGATCGCAGTGTAATAATGCTTTACATTGTTAAGTGCATAAACTATACTCTATTAAAACTAAGCATTTTCCATCTCAAAGTGCTTAACAAACAGTTTGGAAAAGACAGACATACCCACATCACCAGACTTCTCTGTGAGCTATCCAAAGCTTGTCGACCAGTAATGAGCTCCAATAATAGCACACCATAAGCATACACATCTGTTTTTTCATCTACTATACCATGCATGAAGAATTCAGGAGGAAGGTAGCTGTTGTGGCATCCATGGTCAGTGCAAAAGAAAAAAAAAAACAGAAAATAATAGTGTTAATTGATATGTGGAATGAAAAAAATACACACATGGAAAACTTGTGAAGATGTTAAATATACAAACCCGAATGTGCCTTCCACTTTGGAGACAGTATGATGAGTCCATTGGTCAGGTAACCACTTTGCAAGCCCAAAATCAGATATCTGGTATAATATTGGCATGAAAGAATTAAGTGTTGTGAAATGGACATTTGCACAGTCCAGTACAGGAAAGAGTGGTAACATTTTTTGTCTTATTGGAGTAAACGTCAGTTACATTCATATTAGCTCTTACAAAAACACGTCCTAAGATGGCGAATTGATTTAGAACAGAAGAATTGAGGCTAAGTAGGCACCTGTGGCTCAAAATCCTCTGAGAGCAAAATATTAGAAGCCTTAATGTCTTTGTGAATGATCCTTCTTTGACAACCCTCATGCAGATAGCGGAGTCCCTCAGCAGTCCCCAGAATAATCTTATATCTGAGGCTCCAATTCAGCTTCTCTCTAGGTCCTGAAATCATGCAAAGTAAAAAAAATAACCATACCATCTACTTTACCAAAATTTGCAAGGCATTGCAGAAACACTCAAAATGTTAGTTAGTTAGCATTTATACCATAAAGTATAGATGACAAGCTACCATGTGGAGACAATTGAAGAACAAGAAACATTCCTCCTTCAACACCATATCCGATCAATCTAGCTATATTGGGATGATCCACATGCACTATAATGCCAAGCTCAGACAAGAAATCTGCGGTCATTTCTTCTTGGTTCCCTCTTGTCAACCGTTTAATGGCAACAAAGTTTCCATCTTCCAATTTTCCTAAATAAACCTCCGCATAGCCTCCCTCCCCAATCAAATTAGCTTCAAAATTAAACAATTAAAACAGCTTATCAGCCTAGCAATTTAGCAAACACGATGCGAACATGTCATCATAAACGAAAAAAACGAAAACAAAGGGTTTCTTTCAGAGATTCTTGGATTCTTCAATCAGAAAGCAATTCTTTTTCATCCCTTTTTTTCCTGATAAGAGAATTGCATACCTTCGCTAAAGTCGTTTGTTGCAGTCAAGATCTCTGCGAGAGTGAAGTTTTTCCATGAAGATTTTAAGTAGCCAAACTCACTGTCAAAAGATGAGCGAAGAGCTGGAGAATTCAAAGATGGACACATGTCCTCCCTGATTCTCTTGCTTTTTCTTCTTGTGAGTTTTGGAACATTTTTAAGTGGATGAAAAGTTTGGAAAGGCATTTGGGATCCTTTCTTCAGTAACTTGAAGAAACCACGCCATTGATTATTAGCATTAGGTGAATTGCCTACTAAAGACCCCTGACCCTCCGAATCTGAAGTGCTGGTCCTTGAACTTGGGGTTTCAGACCCTTGACTCCTAGGAGAGTGCTCAGGTGCTCCTCCCTCTTCATTGTCTAATGCTTCCAATTCTAACATGGTATTCATTTTCAGCATTAGTACACAAATTAAAGAACAAGGTCCTATAATTCAATTCAACACGTTTGAACCAAACTAACACTTGTCGGAAACAGGAAAAAAAAAGGAAAATTTAATTACCAATACTTGAGAATGAATCAGAAAACCCAGTTCGTGGACGCCTGCCTCTAAAAATAGATTTATCCCTTTCAACTACTTGTTTTCTTTCTGTCTTTGGGACGCCATTGCTGCCAACATAAAATTCTCTGTCAGAAAAAAACCACACAAAGAGACTAAATTGCAACGCAAGAATATGGCCAAAAATATCAACACAACATCAATCGGAACATGGTTGAAAACTTGGAAGCAGAGTTTAAAAAATATGATAATTTAGAAGCCATTGGCACGTGAAACATTACCAAGACAAATATTGAGAAACCATGAATGAGATGAAAAGCAAACGTTGCATGGAAAAACAAACAGAAAGCAAAGGTAATACGAACGTTGAAGAAGGAAGCAAAAAAGCACGTGCATGAAAGATGATAGTACCTCGAGGAAGCTGTTGGTTCTCGTTCATCGTTCATGGTGGCCACGGCTGAGCAAAACGAGTTTCCGAGAACCAAAAGGGTAGCCACGGGAATGACGTGCACGCATGTAGAGTCAGAAAGGAAGAGAAGAGAAAGAGAAAGAGAGATGGAAAGACATGAAAGTAGCGGTTGGCATGATTTTTCTGTTTTCCTACATCCTGTGATTACACTACAACGTTGTCATTATTTCAAACCGTTTTTTTATGCCCAAAATACGGCTTTGCTTAGATGCTCATTCCTCCTTTCTTCTGAATGCAAATCTGAACTCTCCGATGACAAAGAAATATAGATTACTAATTAAATGAATAAATTTGTGTTAGAAATTAATATACTTGTAGAATTTAATAAAAATGTTGTGGCTGTTTGAGAAAGGCTTATGTATGAACATGCACGTAGAGGTCAACCCAACCCATCATGCCACTTTTTTTCTTTGCCATAATAACAAATGACTTTAATTGATTATATAGCTTGGAATGAAAAGGATAGTTACCCAATTTAGCCATTTTGTTAGTTTCCCTTATCAGGTGTCCTTTTAACTAATATTATCTTTTAATATGTACGTTTCAAGTTCTTTTATCTCTTTGGAAATCTGTTTTTTTCCATTTTTCCATATTAGGTTCCTCCATTCCAAAGAAATTGAAGCTTGCAAATGAATACAACGCTGGGAGTTCTTCCAAAAAAGAAAATAATATAGAGATATTCCGTTTTGATCAATCTTACATCATTTTCAACCTTCAAATTTTCTTAAAGTTTATTCAACCTCCAACCATTTAATATATACATTATTTATCTTGATTATTTGGACCTAAAATAATATTTTCAACTCATCCTAGCCCGTGCGACTTATTTAATTAATTTTTTTAATAAGTTAGTGTATAAATATTTCAAGAATTTATATTTAATGTCCCTTCATTTTTCAAGATATATATGCAACCCTCGTTCACCACACCTATTATTATTCACTTTCATCTCAGATATTTCAACTTACCATATGAAATTACTCTCACGAGGGGCACGTGATTTTCAATACCCAATATTCTTCAAATCAATATATATATTTCAAGTATAGGATAAAATCTACTTGTAAAAAAAAATTATATTTATCGATCTCTTAATAATTTTCCATAACAATTTTTTTATAATAAATATTTTATTAATCCGTTTGAATTTATTTTCAAAAAAATATTTAAAATGAAACTAATTATAAGTCAACACATAGATTTTGTAAAATAATTGTAAAAAAAATTGTTAGAAAACCATTTTTCCTTAATCAAACCTCGCTTTGAGATGCAGAAAGGAGAGAAAATGCGTGGGTTTGAAGCAACTCTGAGTGAAAAAAAAAATTGAAGGAAAATCAATCACGATCGTTGTTCATTATAAGGTCTACATTCCCAGCTTTGGCTTCCTTCTTTTGGAACTCACAAGTTAATTACAAAAGATTCATATGCACGTGATCGATTCCAAATATCGTGAAAAGTTGATTACTTTTTAAGCATGTTGATTTCTTCTTCATAAAAAATCTGCAGGGAATTTTTGAACCCATTTTTTTTATTGTAAAAACCATTGCTTTTAACATTTTAATGATTGCTTGATGTTTTATTCAAAAAAAAATTAAGAGTCTGATAAAATTAAATGATCATTTTTCATAAATAAGATAATCAAGACAAATTATGTTTATTTAATAATAAATGCATTATTTAATGAAGAAGAGGAACTAATGTACTTAGTAAATATTAAAAAATTTTATTTAGAACATGAAATCATTCATTTTGAAAAACACACAGTTGTTTTAAAATTAAAATGATAATAAATTATTCAATATTAGGAAAGAAAATGTGGTCGAAGATAGGCTTATAAGATTTGAGCATGAAGCATTTTTTAAAATCCAAGCTCTAAAATCTGACTTTATATACTTAATATATATAGATTACTTTCCAAAGCTTGGCATAAAAAATTTTAGAGCATGACATGTAATCAAATCCTTTAAATAAATAAATAAAATTGTAGAATTTAAAGAAAACTTTATCAAGCAACATGAAATTTATTGTGGGAACAAGTTGCTAAAGTAGAAGAAATATCATGAATTGTTACAAAGTTGAAACAAAAAAAAGTTTAGTGATAAAGTTAAGGCAAAGTTAATGGACTTTGCGCGTTATCAATCCCTCAAATATAGTATAAAGGTCTTTGTTTTCAGCCCCAAAAATCTCATTAGCATTCTGCAGTGTTTCCTGCAATTTCACACGAGTGCCAATTAATTAATTAATTAAAATTAGGGAAGCTTGGAAAAGAGAAGAAAGCCTATTATTACCTCTTTGGTTTGTTTATGAGAATTCAGTTCCTTCACATTTGCTAAAAATGCACCAAACTGCTCATAGGATAAACGACTCCTAATAATAACAAACACCAATTCAATGAAGAATAATTGCTACTTAATTAATATCAAATACAATTTAATTTGCTAATAAATTAAACTACCGTTGCTTACAATTGCTTCAAATTCAAAGACAGGAGGGAAACATCAAAAGATAAAAGTTATATTATATAACTTTACAAAATGTTAGATTCAGTTCAGCATGATTAACCCCTCCAAAAAAAAGTTCAAAAACTGTGTATTATATAAGATTAATATTAAAAGTGTACTCTAAAAACTAAAAGAAAATATACAATATTATCTACAAAATTTTGTGATGTATATTAATTTCAATACATAATGCCTTAAAAACTGAGTGATATAATTTTTATTTAAGAAGTAAAATACTTTTCTAAAATTTAAATTGAGGTGTAATAACTATTTCGACAGTGAATATTAATTTTCGTCGTCTTATATACATTAATTATCTCCACAAGCGAGATGATGAGATTCGACTTTTCCTCCATACATATTAAGGAAAGTAATATTTTTTTAATAGATTTAATATAGATTTTGAATTTTTTTTCATAATATAGACGTGAGTGAATTCAACTTTTTCATTAATAAAAATACTAGCAATCAGCTAATAAAAGAAAAAAAAACTTTAAAAAAATCTTTGTTGGTTCATCGTGATTAAGGACATGAAAGTTGAATTATTTTTTCTTCCATGTTTGAATTCATTTCATAAATGTCATGTTAATTTGCAAATCTTTTATAGTTAAATTATAGTTAGGAAAACAAGCAAAACTCACTGACCTAACTTGGCGAAAAAACTCTTTTCCATCCACTCGTGTTCGACCTGAAAGAATGAAAAAAAGTAGTTAATGAAAGCATTAATTTAAAAAACGTGGAAGAAATGCAAGAAAGGCATGGATTTGAAGGGAGTCACCAGTTTGTGAGGAAGACCTATCATCAAACATTCCTCTTGAGGTCGAAAAGGACATTGCATGGCGCCTTGGAGACACAGGTTTAGATGATGTTCTTGTCGGGGATGCCAGTGCAGACTTACTGGGAGGGGAACCTGGAGGAGTAATGCGAGGGGTGCTACTTTGCGATGCTAACACGACATTATGGGATGCTCCAGATCGTGAACCTGCACACAACATAACATGTTTTGGTGATGCATGCACAAATATATGTACACTTTTTTTATCAATCCATCACACACCATCGGACTCACGATCCTCCGCAATGTAATTTGACGTGTCGAAAGTGTTTAATCGCATTGAAGAAGATCTAGAAGAAGGCGTTGAAGCATCTTCGTCTGCATTCAAATCACAACCCAGAATCAGAAAATTACTGCCAACCATGGTGGTGAACTCACAAATAATTATACTTTGAAAATACCTCCAAATTGCGACGAGGAAGTGATACTTGCTTGACTCTGCAACTTAGCGGCAAGGTCTGCTGCTCCTCCCTGTGCCAAACTCAAATGCAAACCATAACTTCGTAATCGATCCTATTAATTAGGTAATGGTTTGTTTATGGTTTTCATAAACTTTTATCCAACATGAAATTTTAAGTTTATAGAAAAAGTTATTTTAAGTCACACATACACATTGTATTGATTGTAAAGTATATAAAAATTTTGATAAATCTAAGAGGTTATTGTTTTAAAAAATCTTGTTAGAGGTATTATTATAAAAAAGAAGTATTTAAATTTTTAAATTTAATTAATAATATTTAGTTATATACCACAAAGTTATCTGAACCATGAATTAACGTTGTTGAGAACCACCTAATTATTTCTCCCCATTTAACAGGACGGTGACTATAAACCGATTAGTATTACACTGTAGTCGCATATTTGCTAAACTGATCAATTAAGCCAACCAAAGAAAAAAAAAACATGTTCACACGAAACAATGCAATACTAGTAAAGAGAAACTAATTAAAAATTTTAATAAATATATAATTTATGAAAAAAATATATTTTTGTTAAAACCTTAACAGCACTTGAGACCATCTCATAATTACAATATAGTTAATATTAATATTAATAAATAGAAGTAACGTACAGAAGTATCTTCATCCTCGTGAAGTGATTTCATAAGCGTCCTTCTGAAACTCTCCAACTGCAATGCATGCAATTATATTGAGAATCCATTAGCCCAATAATTCTATCCTCATTCCGTCCGTTACTTTCACACTCGTTTAACATATTTTTTTAAATATATAAAAAATATATACTTTTTTATAACTATTTTATTTTTATAACGTGTGTAAAAAATGAATATAAATATGTATCTATTATTCTAATTTTAGATTATAACCAAACTTCGTGAGAATAGCTGAAAGAAAGTTAGAATCAAAATTCAGAATTTGCACCTTAGAGACATCTCTGGTGAGCTTTCTCACCGAATTGGAAAGATAAGCATTCTCCTTCACCAAACTCTCCTGTAATTAATAATCCCAAGCGAAACAAACAGATAAAATAAATAAAATAATTGGTCATTGAAAATTGAACCGGGTTGAGGGACCGGTTCGGACCTTGTCTCGGTCGGCTCTGGCTAGCTTATCGGCGGCTTCGGAGAGAGCGGCGTCGAAGGAGTCCACCTGAGCCTGAAGCTCCTCGATGAGCCGCTCCCTATCGGCGAGTTCGGCGCGCAGAGTGGAAGACTCTGATTGGAGCGCATTGACACGTGTGGATAGCGCAACGGAGGTGATTTTGCGGGCCACGTCAAGCTGCTCGTAAGGATCAGACGGCAGAAGTTGTAGCAACTCATCCGGAAGATCGACACTGGAAGCACTGGATTCAAGAGGCAACATTTTAGTTTCGTGGCTGGTTGTATAATGTAGTAGAATTTTTTGTTTAATTTATATTTTTAGGATTTTATTTATGCGGTATGATGTTTTGTTGACGAATGAGAAGGAATGGCAGAGGTTTGGATAGTGAGACGACAGTGTGGTTTGATCTTATGAATTGGTCTGTCTTTGTTTGTTGTCAAAACATGTGGCTTGGTAA